CCTTGTGAAACAAAGGCGTGGAAAGCCTGAGGGCGCAGGACCCCAGCGAAGGTGGGACACTCTCCTGCGTCATACGGGCTCGAGGAGGACGTAGGCTGACGCAAGGCAGTTTCCCCTTGAGCTTTGGGGTTTGTCTGAAGGGGAGGGCGCCCAGCCCGGTGCCGCAGCACCGCTGCCGAGATCTTGTGGTCTTTCCTGCATTCCCGGGTGCTGGCAAGGTCTTCCAGCCCCTCCGTGAGAAATTTTGTTCTTTCTCCCCAGTCCTGACCATGCTGACCAACGAGACCGGCTTTGAGATCAGCTCGGCCGACGCGACGGTGAAGATCCTTATCACCACGGTGCCGCCCAATCTCCGCAAGCTGGACCCCGAACTACACCGTAAGAGCTCAGCTTGCTCTGCCCCGCGCGTGAACCTTCACTGGGGGGGGTGGGGAACCAGCTGCCTCCCCGCACCTACTCCCCTTTCGGTTGAAAACCCAGGCGCTTCTGCTGCTTCTTTCAGTGGACATCAAAGTGCTGCAGAGCGCCCTGGCTGCCATCAGACACGCTCGCTGGTTCGAGGAGAACGCTTCGCAGTCCACGTGAGTTTGGCCTCAAAACAGGGAACTGCAGCTCTGAGGCCCGGTCGAAATAATCGCCTTTACAGAGAACCGGGCGGGGGGAAAGCAAGGAGGGCTCCTCCTGCAGCGGGAAGGTGCGTGAAGCGTTACGAACCCTCCTCCTGCTGTCTTCTCCAGGGTGAAGGTCTTAATCCGGCTGCTGAAAGACCTGAGAATCCGATTCCCTGGCTTCGAGCCCCTCACCCCCTGGATTCTGGACCTGCTGGTGAGCGCACGAGGGGGAACGCTGACGGTGTGCCGGGCATGCCGTAGCTAACTCGTAGCTGCCTGCGCGTACCTGGGCTTCGGCATAAAACAGCTGCTTGTAGCTCCCGCAGCAGGAGCCAGGATTCTTTGCGGGAGGCCGCTCTCGTCCTAACTCCCTCTTTCTTATTTCACCTCTTCAGGGGCACTACGCCGTGATGAACAACCCCACCAGGCAGCCCCTGGCCCTCAACATCGCCTACAGGTCCGTCGCCATTTGCTTCACTCGTATAAATTCCTCTTGCCATCTCAGTTTTGAACGTCTGCGGCGGCACGTCAGGGCTTGAAGGGACCTGAACGGGAGGCAAAGCAGACTCCTCGCCTAGCTGTGCTAATTGCAGACTTTCTGGCTGTGTTTCTGTGCTGGAACGGTCGAGTTTTTAACCCAAAACGTCTTGTCCCGTAGGCGCTGCCTTCAGATCCTGGCCGCGGGGCTCTTCCTCCCTGGATCTGTTGGTATCACCGATCCCTGCGAGAGCGGAAACTTCCGAGTCCACACGGTTATGACCCTCGAACAGCAGGTGAGCTGCCTCGTCTGCCGCGGGAGAAGGGACTAGGACCCAGCCAAGCTCTGACTCTTCCCCGTCCCCGCAGGACATGGTGTGCTACACCGCGCAGACGCTCGTCCGGATCCTCTCTCACGGAGGCTACAGGAAAATCCTCGGCCAAGAGGGTGACGCCAGCTGTAAGTGGGGTCGGTGCAACGCGTGGGTCTTCCTCCACGCAGGCTGTCGATGTCTCGGTGGGGAAATGCGACGGGCTTTCTGCGTTGCTGGAGAAAATTAAGGGCTCCAAGGAGAAGCGACTCATTAAACCAGAGCAGCGGGGAGGCGAAGCTGGCGAGGCGGGGTGTCGTGCTTCCCTCTGCTACGTCCTGGGGACGGGGCTTGTCCGCACCGCCCAAGGCCGCCCCCGTCGTTCTTGGGGTGAGCTGCCTGCTCACTACCCCTGTTTTTGCAGACCTGGCTTCCGAAATGTCCACGTGGGATGGAGTGATAGTGACGCCTTCCGAGAAGGCTTACGAGAAGCCTCCAGAGAAGAAAGAAGGAGAAGAGGAAGAAGAGAATCAGGAAGAACCCGCTACGGGCGAGGAGGAGGAAAGCATGGAGACGCAGGAGTGACTCGCCCAGGTAAAGCCTGTTGGTACCTGCAGCTCTGGGCAGGGGAGGGAA